GTGCAGGCTCACAGGTTGACCTGCAACGGTCCATGGACCTATTCTTGTTAGCCTGTGACAACTTCGGACTCGCTATTAACACGAAGAAGACCAAAGTGATGTTTCAACCTAAGCCTGGCACAATACCCCAGGAACCACACATCTTAGTTAAAGGCCAACAACTGTTGATGGTCGACAAGTTTTTACATCTAGGTAGCATGCTCTCCCGTGCTGTCCACATTGACAACAAAGTCAACACGAGACTAGCAAGAGCTAGCATGGCCTTCAGCAGACTCCATAAGTCAGTCTGGGACTGCAGAGGCATCAGAATGTCGACAAAACTGAAAGTTTACAAAGCTGTCATCCTTCCAACCCTCCTTTACACCTGCAAAACCTGGACTGTCTACCAGCGTCACGTCAAGGAACTCAACCACTTCAACCTGTGCTGCCTGTGAAAGATACTAAAGATCATCCCTCCCTGTTTCTTTCCCATTTCTTTTCTCTCTTCGCCCCCCCTCCTCCCCGAAGCTGGATGCAGTAGTCTTCGCCCACGAAGGAAGAACAATATAGAACATCTACCTAATCTTCATTTTCAGCTGCTATGGAATTAAAAAAAACAAAGGAACTCTAAATATTATGGCAACACTTTTATATTACTGTATCTAATATAGCCCCTGTTGCATTAATTCCTCTTTAATGCCTTTTTAAAAAAAAAACCCAAGTGATTATGTTCAATTGCAACAGGTTAGGTTCAAGCTAAACATTCAGTGATCCTAAGTATTTCCAAAAGCTTTTGGTTTAATACAAATGTACTTACCTAATAACAAGTACTGTTAATTATCTGTCTGTAATGCTCATAATACTTTGGTAGTTGCAGTTAAAGTTAATGACAAAAGGAGATGTGTGTGTTCAGTTCCCAGTAAAAAGGGATTTGAGTCTCTGTTTTGAGAGGGGTTTCAGAGTCTGCCCCACTAAAGATAATGTTGACACAGCTTTACAGCATTCCTGTATGTGATTTCCTTTTTAAAGATACTTCTTTTTGGTACTGATGTCTATGAATACAAATGCCTAGAGAAGTTACATAGCTGGCTGCTTATAAATGAATTTGTGGATTCTTATTTTTTTGTCTTTATGGCTATAAAAGGTATTGGGTAAAGCTGACTGATATTTTGTTAGTCTCTTCTTTTTACAGATTAAAACCATTTTTTTTCTCGTAGAAGATTCTTTCATATTTGGGGTCAGTATTGTTTTCAAGTAGGATATGGTTCCCAGTGGGGAAAAAAATGGAAACTTAAAAATTTCTGTAAAAACACTGCAAGTTCGATAGAGATTTTCAAAACTGTCTACTCAAAATCCTGATTGATTTTAGAGATCAGATCTTTATTCTCTAAGAAATGCAGTGATCTACAACTTGTCCTAGGATGCAATTCATTGAATTCAGTTTATATAACCATTTCTCTTCGTAATTCTGAAGTCCCCTATGTTCCATCACTTTTTGGATGTGAATTTTGAATTTCGCTATAGACAGAGCTGATAGCACTCCTGTTCAAAGTTGCATGATACTACATTTATACTTAAGAATTTTGGACTAGGGTGGTCAACCTCCAGCAAACCTGTCTTGTAGAGCCATGGCATTTGACCTGCAGGACTCCACAAATCAGGAAATTTGAGGGTGGGGGAGTGGCGGCAACGAATACTGCCACCCCTCCCCTGCTGCCAAATGTCCAAGCCCTGTGCAGTGGGTTGGAGATGGCCCATGTTCCCTTTCCCCTCCCTCTGCATAACCAGCTCAGGGCTGGGCTATATACCCCCTTTTGCCAAACAGTTGGATCCTGCCTCATCCATGTGGCTGGATGGGGTCCTGTTGCCACTACCCCAGGCACCAGGTTGGGACCACTGGCTGGATCTGGCCTATGGATGGACTAGACTCTGCCAATCTGGCCTGCCAGCTAAAAAAGGTTGCAGGGGACAGGGCAAGGAAAAAGGGTCTTAAAGTGCAGTGGGGAAAGTTCAGGTTGGGCATTAGGAAGATTAGGGGCACACGATGAAGATTTTTTTTTGGCCAATACTGATGGGTGATTATTAACCAGCCATATCGGCCGATACCAATCCGATAGCCAATATGCAGCCTGGCAGATTGGAGAGCAACTCCCTACTGATAATAAGTCTGTAGGGGGAAGGAGTGTCAGGAAGGGAAGGGGCATGTGGGGGGGTGCAGATTGAGGCCCCCACAGTGAGGGAGTAGGGCAGGGCAGGGGCAGGAGCTGTCCAGCTGGGGTAGTGAGTGCAACCCCTGGAGTGGGACAGCCCCATGGCAAGCTCACCTGGGAGGTGGTGGGAGTGGGGGGTGGTGCCCTGCCACTGTGTGCTCCCCTGGGGGAGGCTTGGGGGGCATGTGCCCCCTAGACTTGTGTACAGGGTGAGGGTGGATTGCCTAGTGCAGGCTAAGGGCCAGGGTATGTGCTGGCCTGTTCCCAGCAGGGGGGCTGGGCTAGGGATGCACTTGGGGTGGGTATGGGTGTGAAGGGCGGTACAGGGCGAGCTACAACCTCCTCAAAATTTGCTGTATCCACCCCTCCCAGCGCTGCCACTGAGTGCAGCCCTGGCCCAGCCTCCCTGTCAGGAAGAGGCTGGCACTGCCCCCGAGCCTGCAGCGGGCAGCCTGCCCTTGCCTTGCCCACAAATCTGGGGGACCCATGCCTCCCCTGTGGGTACACACAGCAGCGGGGAGCCATCCCCCCTCCCAGCACCCTCCGGATGAGTTGCCCACGGCTCTTTTCTGCTCCTGGAGTTGCGCTCACCGCTTTGGCTGGACAGTGCCTGCCCCTGCCTTGCTCCCTCACTGTGGGGGCCTCAATCTGCTCCTCCCCCATGCTCCCCACCACAGACTTACCAGCCGGACACTGCTCTCCAAGCTGCCAGGCTACGTTCCTGGCTGTGTGAATGCTGCAGCTGCACACATGCATGCAGCATGTATCGCTGACATTATCGGTCAAAAAAAAACTGATTGCTAATATTGTTAATTTTCCTTTTATTGGTACCGATCTGATATTGATCGATATATCAGTGCACCTCTGTAGGAAGAACTTTCTCACTGAGGGTGGCTGAGCATTGGAACAGGTTATCCAGAATGGTTGTGAAATTTCTATCCCTGAAAATTTTCAAGAGCAGGTTAGACTGATACTTTCTTTGCTGCTTTAGTCAAGGATGATCCTGCTTTGAGCAAGAGGTTGGACTAGATCAGGGGGCATCCCAAGGAAAGTGGGTAAGAAGAGAGTGCTTGGGCTCTGGCCTGGTGCCTTCCCTTCCCTCCTCACTGTCCTTCCCTGTGGAGGGGGGCTTGGTGGGGAAAGCGGGTGGCAAGAGGGCGCAGGGTAGGAAGAGGGTGGATGGGAAGAGGGCAATTATTTTGGCTAGAGGGCCCCTTAGGGAGTTCTAGTGACCTGGAGTATCACAGAAATTAAGGGCTGGAAGGGACCTCGAAAGATTGAGTCCAACCCTCATCTCCCCCCCCCTCCCCCCCAACAGCTCACCAAAACTCTCTAACTGGTCCCCACATGCAGCCAGATGGTTGGGATGGGACTGGGTGGATGGGGTGTAGCATCTGGGAGTGGGATGGGCAGTTGGGCCAGGTTTGGGAGCGGGATCATGGGGTAGTGACAGTGTGGGGCCAGTTCTGCAGGCAGGGGCAGGCAGCAAGTGGATTTCAGGTCTGCCCCAGGCCTCGACCCCATGCTATCACTACCCAGTGATCCTGAAATCTGTATGGAGACTAGCCAGGACCCGTGTGTGCAGGGTGCACATCTGGGCTCATGCGATGGGGTTGTGGGTGGGTGGGGATTCATGTTTGGGAGTAAAATGGTCAGGTGGAGCCAGCGATTGGGATTTTGGAGTGGTGACAGTGTGGAATTGGGGCCTGAGGCAGAGCCCTAATCCATTCCCCGCACACCTGCAGAACTGGTGCCACAGCCAGGTGCGACCAAGGAACCCACTGTGGGCCAGATGAAATGCCTCAGTGGGCCGGATTTGGCCCACAGACTATATGTTGCCCACCCCTGGACTAGATCTCCTGTTGTCCTTCCCAGCTCTATTAATTTAGGTTTCTATGACACTTTCCATCATGTAACCTCACTGTCAGTTGCTAAGAACTTTGCCAGACTTCACCCGTTTGGCTGAAGTTTCTATACAAGATGTCTGTCTGAAGCCAAATCTCACTTTTTTTTTTTTCTTTTTTCCTTTTTTTTTTTTTTGTCAACCTACACTTGTCATTTTCAGCCAAAGCAGCGCACCTATTGCTGGGAACAAAGCTTAGGAAAAAATTTATGTGGATTTACCCATGTTAAAATTGTCAGCCTTTTCCTTAATAAGTACTTGGGTTCCTGTGCTTTGGAACAATTGATTCTGCTTGGCTGGGGAGATGGCCTGTTTCCAGGGATGCATTTTGGCAGTGCCTGTGAAGATCCACTCCAATTTGCCAGGATTCTTTTGTTTTGGGGAAAAATAAATAAATCTCAATTCATGTATGCACAGTGGAGACTCCTTTTGATTTTTAGTAGCTAAAAAAAATCTCTAAAGGTTCTGCCTTTGTGCATATTGCGTCCTATCACAATACTTGTGATGTGTGCTGACCAGACTGTACATGGGCCATCTCTACAGAGAGACTCAGCCCTTCAGAGAAGCATCCTATACACAGTCTTAATTCTGGTATTTCCTGTCTTTTAATGTAGATTATTTTAGTATATTGTGTGGTAGGCTTCAGAGCAACTATTGGATAACTCTTGCTGGGCTCAGGGTCTGAATTCACGCCAATAAACTGAAAAGATTTGATAACTTTTGATCCATGCAGTTCTGTTTCTTAATAATTTCCACACCCCATTCCCAATTCCAAACCCAGCCATGGTTCCAAATCTTCTCTTTTTTATTATGTAGAGCTCCGGTATGAAGTATTACTCAGTACAACTCATTTTTTTGGCAGGGGGAAAAAAGCACCAAAATAATTTAATTGTACCTTATTTCTTTAGGTGCAAGGCCTGGCAATGGCACCAAATTTGCTCTGTACCCAGGACTCCTTCCTTTAAATGAGAGGACCAAACGAGACGGTGTGATGAACATGCCACTGCATCAGATCTCTGTCATTCCAGCTCAGGATGTTACCTCTTCCAGAGTCTGCAGGAGCAAGACCAAAGACAAAGAGAGAGAAGAACTGGTAAGTTTCATTCAATTTTTGAAGGTGTTAGCTCATCTCATTGATATCTGATTCACTAATTCAGCACAACTTTCGCACCAAAATGCCATGAATTTAATTAAGAGGATTCCTGAATTCAGGCCCCTTTTTTACCTTTGTCGTCATAGTTGTCATTTGTACAATCATCTGTGCAAGGCTAGAGTCAGCACAACAGCAAAATAGAAATTTCAAGCATTTGTTTTGCATGAGACTTGGAGACCGCTGCCAACTGTGTATTCTAGGTCTGATGCCATTATTAATGTGCTTGTAGTGTCATAGCCTCTATTAATGGTCACTTGTTGCTCATTTTGGAACAAAATGAGACATTGTGATTGTGTATGTAACTGAGTTCCGCTTCCCTGTTGTATTTCACCTTTACATTTTTCCAGACTAAGCTTCTGACGGCAATTGGAAATGGTATTGTATTCTGCACTGAATATAATATCACAAAGGAGAGATGTACACCTTCCACTTCCTTAAGAAGACTTTTACTTTTGTTCCTTATTTTTGTTGTTGTAAATTGAGACAATAAACTGAATATTTCAGCCCTTCTTTGTGTGCAGAAATACAGAGCACCAAACAGAGCAAGACTCATTGGATTCCAGACAACAAACTATTTGACTGTTTTCTTTTCTAGCATATCATGTCAGTGCTCCTGTTCAGTCCCTGATTTCAAGCCAAAACTCTCAGTTCAAACCAAAACTCATATTACATGTTTATTTTCTAAAGTACAGCATAATGTCTTGAGTTCTCTATTATTTGCCAATTTTGAAACATTTTAGAGGGGTTTTTAAGCTTTCACACTAGCTAAATAAATAGAATAAAAACACACCGAGAACAGTCCAATACAAATGGGCTTTATAGAAGGTTAGGATTAAATGTTCAATAACAGCCCAAATCTGGAGAGGTGTAAAATGGTATAAATTATGAATTGGGCATTGCTTAAGTGGCAAGAGTGAGTAGCAGGAAAAGCAGTTAAATTTAAAAAAATTAATAACCTGAGAGCGTGAAACAAAGGTATAAGGCAGGAGAGCATATAGCTATTCAGGGACTTTTTTGTAGAAGAGAACTATCTCCCCTCTTTCCCACAGTCCTCCTCTCGCTCTCTCTAAGAGCGGAGAGGTCTGCTTCTTGCCCTGCACAGGAGTTATGCCAGTCTATGCAGAAGGTGGGGAATGAAAGGGAAAAGGAGAGTAGTTCTTATAGGGTAAGGGGTTGTCTGTGGCAGCTGCCTTTTTTTCGGCATGTGCCAGTGCCCATTGACAGCCTGCTCCCTTCCTTGGTAAGGGAGAATGCAGGCTGCCCTTCACTGGGCTCCTCTAAAAGTGGGAGTAGCTCTCTAGTACCTGCTGGCTGGGGAGGTCACCGATGTAGCTTCCCAGCCAGGGGCCTAGAATGCCTGTATGTCCCAGTTTTCCTAGAATGCCTGACCTAGTTTTCCAGTGCTAAGACTTTCTGTGAAATTCTTAGTGTTGCAAATGAATGCTTGACCATGCTGAAAGAAAGCAGCCCCTGTTATCCTGTTCTGCAGAAGAGAAGACTGAGGGGCAATTTAATAGCAGACTTCAACTACCTGAAGGGTGGTTCCAAAGAGGATGGAGCTAGATCCAGGGGTTGGCAACGTTTTTAGGCAGTGTCAAAAACACCTGCAGCCTTGACTTATAAGATGTTGGTGTGCCGGGGTGGATGGCAGGGGAGCCATGAGGGGCCTAATCCTTGTGGCGGTGCAGGACAGGCCCCTTCCCCACCATCTGCCTCAAAACGCATGCCAAGCAAGATGCCTTTGCGTGCCACACTCTTGCACCCATGCCAGGGGTTGCCTACCCCTGAGCTAGACTGTTTTCAGTGGTGGCAGATGACAAGACAAGGAGGCAATGCTCTCAAATTGCACCAGGGAAGTTTAGGTTAGATAGTAGGAAGAACTTTCTCGGGAGGAAGACAGTAAAGCACTGGAACAGGCAACCCAGAGTGGTTGTGGAGTCTCCATCCTTGGAGGTTTTCAAGACCTGGCTAGACAGCCTTGGGTAGGATCTAGTTGGTGATGGTCCAGCTTTGAGCAGAGAGTTGGGTTGGTGACCTCCTGAGGTCCCTTCCAACCCTATTTTTTGTTATGAATCTCTTCTACAACTTTGCTATACAAATTCCATCTGCTTAACTGTTGGGAAGTCAACACCAATAACTTATCCCATAGTTTATATTTGCAGTTTTTGAGTTTTTTGCCTACATACTTTTAAATATAAAGGAAAAAGAAGACTGTTTTTAAGCCTTGAGAGTCTTAGCTCTGAAAGTTTTTGGTGTTTGGGTTTTTTTTGGTGGTTTATTTTTTTGACAGATGATCCTAATCAAGGTTGACATGATTTATGCTGCTTTGAACCAGTTAGTCTAATCTACAGATCCATTCATAGCATCTGAAGAAGTAGACTGTTGTCTGTGAAAACTTGTGACTCTGAACTGGTTGGTTTCTAAGGCACCACCTTGCCATGACTTCTGCAGGGTTGGCTGGTGTAACACAAGTCTTTGGTCCCTGGGCCCAGGAAAGGAGCTAGTCTTCCATGATTTAAAGGCGCATATATGTGTAATGCCTCTCCTTAGGAGTCTCACTGAAGTCTCTTGCTTGCTACCTTTTTAGCATGTGGAGTTTCTTTCAGTTCTGCTTTAAGCAGGCATTCCCTCCATTACAGTATACTTTTGCCTTTTCACTCCTTCAGTCCTCCATAGAGAAATGTTTGATTCTGAGTAATACCACCAGCTCCAAGCTGGAAGATAAAAGTTTATCTTACTCCCTAAAAGTGCACTAACATATCCTCTTTAACTGGGGACATATGCATTAAGAGTTGGGTATAAATCCCAGCTACCTGCAGGATCTGTTTATCCTTGGGTCCCAGGAATGGAAGTCCCAAGCCCATTTCTAAACCTGTTTCCTACCGAAGGTGCTGTTGCTTTCAGCATTAAGAAAGCTTCTATTTATTTTCTTAATGGTAGTCAAAATGCTGATTGCTTTTTCTTCTGAGTTACTGGTGCATTTTGACATCCTGGGGCCCTTAATAAGAAGGAGTGGGATATTGGAGTCAGGACTGGAGAAGACCAGTTTCTTTCAAGGTAAGGATTCTGTGAATCCCTGCAGAATAAAGGGAAGATACTTTCAGGAGAGACAAGGACTCTGGAGTCATCTCAACTACCGTATAAAGGATTCGTAGTTTCCAAATGGAAGCAACCATTCCTGTCTTGTATGAACATGGTGTTATCATTTCTATTGGCATGTTCACCAGTCTGCACTTTCGGATTCCATGTAGTTGGCAACACTTTCCGGTGGAGGGGGGCAGAGGGGAGTCGGGCTTCAAAACCCCAATAGAAGATAAGCAGGCCTTAAAACCCAGCTGCCACTTCTCCCTGCTGCTCAACTCCAGCATGGTATGGTGAAAGCCCCCCTGTGCCAGAGCCTGTGCTGTTTGATTTGAAGTGTGGCATGTGCAGACCTCTTCCTCAGAGTACTACGTGCCAACTGTGGCATAGTACAGGGAGAACTCCTGCAAGCTGTAGGTTACCACCCCCAATTTACTCAGGTAAACCTAGGGTTTATATGGTATGTACAAGGCATACACATACCTGGTGTTTTGTTAATTCCTCACCAGGAAGTATTGTGAGGTGTAAACTGGACCTCAGTGTATTGGTAAGTGTTTACCATGAGTAGGATGTCAACTGAAGCTAAGAAACGAGAGCAATGATCTGTACACCTCATTTACATTCTGTGGGGATACCTGGGTAGATAGTGCACAGATTTATGAAGGCTGGCTGAGTGCCTAAGACTATGGACCACTCAATAGTCACCGAGAGCAAATGATCTCTACACCTCATTTACACTCTGTGGGGATAGCTGGGTAGATAGTGCACAGATTTATGAAGGCTGGCTGAGTGCCTAAGACTATGGACCACTCAATAGTCACTCCTAGCAACTAGGCTGAGACCAAATCTTATCACTCTTGAAGCATGATGCAGCCTGTTTATACAGATCTGGGCTGTCCAACTTGAGTGGCCAGGGGCTTCATGCTGCATGTGCTCCCCTTCCCTTCCCCCTTGATGTTTCCTTGCAGCTGCACCATGCTGCACTGTGTGGTCTCCTCCTACTACATGATACCCGTATAGCCCTCTCCCACATGCTGTGCCATGCCATGCAGTGCCCTTCTCTACTACAGCTCCATGTGGTGGGCAACTCCCACTATACTGTACTGAGCCT